AATATGAAGTTTTTATTGCGAACTTAATCAATCAAGTAATTACAGAAGTTGGACCTCAAAATGTGGTTCAAGTAATTACTAATAATGCTCCTATTTGTTCTTCTGCCGGATTAATCATTTAAAATGAGTTCCAACATATCTTCTGGACCCCATGTGTAGTGCACACATTGAATCTTGCCCTTTAGAATATTTGTGCAGCAAAAAATCTTGAAAAGAATGCAGTTACTTATGAGGAATGTCACTAGATTACAGAAGTTGTTTGAGATTTAGTAACTATCAAAAATTTTATCATGAATCATTCTTTGAGGTTGTTTATCTTCAATGAGTTTGTGCCTTTGAAGTTGCTTGTCGTTGCAGACACTCGTTTTACATCTGCTATTATAATGATGAAAAGATTTAAACTCATCAAGCATGGTCTTCAAGCAATGGTAATTAGTGAGAAATAGTCTTCTTACAAAGAAGATGATGTTGTCAAAGTGGCATTTGTGAAGGAAAACATCTTGAGTGACATTTGGTGGGATAAATAGATTATATATTTTCTTTCACATTGGCCATTTATGAGATGTTGAGGGTTTGCGATATAGATATACCATGTCTTCATTTGGTTTGTGAAATGTGGGACACAATGATTGACAAGGTGAAGACAGCTATATATAGGCATGAAGGGAAGCCAAATAATGCAAGGTCAATCTTTCATGATGTGGTACATCAAGTTCTAGTTGAGAGATGGGCTAAAAGTAACACACCTCTTCATTGTCTTGTCTTGCACATTCTTTAAATCCAATGTGACAACTTTCTTCTTAGTTTTTACTCTTAAATTACTTTTTTTTTTGGTTATCGAGTTGGTTTTGATAGCTTCTAAGTTTACAATATAGGTATTATAGTGCACAGTGACTAAATGAAATCTCAATCGTGTTCCTCTTCACATGGATGCAGATACTTCCCAAATCCACAAGAGAGAATGAAGGCTAATACTGAGTATGCTAAGTTCTCTGGTTGTTTGGATCAATTTGGAGAGCACGACTCAAGAGTACATCGAGGATTAATGGACCCTCTCATGTGATGGTTTTCTCATGGGTCTCCTGCACCAATGCTTCAATCTTTAGCATTGAAATTACTTAGTCAACCTTGTTCCTCATCTTGCAGTGAAAGAAATTGGAGTACTTATTCTTTCAGTACTTCCATGAAAAGGAACAAAATGACACCACTTCGTGCCCAAGATTTGGTTTTTGTACACAACAATCTTCGTCTCTTATTGAGGAGGAGTAAACAATACATGGAAGGAGATACGAAGCTATGAGACATTGGTGGAGATGTATTGATTCATTGGAGGGTGCTGGGTTATTTGAAGTTGCAAGTCTTTCACTTGATGAGCCAGAGATGAAAGCTATGTTATTCTAAGAAAGAAGGGATAAAAATGAAGATAATTTTGGAGAAACGTGTTAGTAACAAGAAGGACTGTTTTGTTTCTTGATTTGTAATAGGATAATATTCTAAATTGCAAGCTTTTTGTTGCTTGACTTGTAATCGCATGGGTTTTTTGGTTTAAGCATGGACTTGATATTATGCAATATGCATGTGTTGTTTAAGCATGGACTTGATATTATGCAATATGTATGTGACATAGAATGTATGATTTATGAATGATAGAATGGTTAGTTATTATTATATATCTTTGGTATATGTGTGATTCATTTTATAAGTCATAATTACTATATTAAATATAATAATAAAATTTAAAAAAATATATATTTTATGGATGTATCCTAGCCGTACCCATATTCTTTTTTTTTTTTTGTCATATCGCCGTATCCATATTGTATCGTATCTGTATCCCGTATCCATATCCATGCTTCATAGCTAATAATTCAAAAAGATTGTGCTTGGATCTCTTGACAAAAAAGTTCCTCATATTAAACGTAGTTTGAATTTTCACTAAAAAAACATACATGCCCATTCCAGTATACTCCACTCCATTCAAGACAAATCTTTTGGAGTCTGCATAAAAAAAAAAAGGAAAAATTATCAATAAATATTATTTTTTCCTTCAAATTATTTTTGTTTTATCTCAATGAAGTCTTACTTGTAATGTTTTTTTCAATGCCGTTCTAATTCTATTATATTCCAATTTTATCCTTAATTTTTAGTTACCAAACACTTTCATTCTTTCTAATATGTCAAAACCCTGGCGACATACTCTTGGTAGGACTTTTCATTTTTTATTTGTTCCTTTTGCTTAACAACTGTGATGCGTTTTTTTTTTCGGTGGAGATTATAAATTAGAATTTTTTTTGCCCTTTTATTCTCACTTTTCATTCGTTGAAAAATTACTAGAGCTAAGAAACACACCATTGTCAATAGAATAATAAAATTAAAACAAAATATAGTATTTATGGAATTTATGATTTCATTTAAATAAATTACTAAGAGTATGACTTCATCGATACAAAACAAAAAATATAAGACTTAATGGATGTTTAGACGGAAAAGTAATGCTTAGTAATTTTTCAAAAAAATAAAAAGCTAGCCCACTCACCAAATGCTAAAGAGCAATGTCTATTTTGATTGTTTGTGCAAATTGACCCCAACCTTTTTCAATTCATAACATTTGCCGCAAATCAGCAACAAATTGATGAATGTTCTTTTTCAATTATATTGGCGAGCTGTGCCTAGTGAGTGAGCGCACATTTTTCAATAATTTTCACTCTTAAACTATTTACAATGAAATTGCTTGGACTTTTTGAGTCGGTGCGACTTGGCTTGCTTTCAATTCTATGTTTGAATTACTTTTGACTTTGGCATTAATACTAACAGTTGCAAGTGTCAGTGTCAAGAGAACAATTTCAGCAATAAAGTTTATGAAGATTAGATTGCATAATTAAATGGGTGATCAATAGATAACAAATAACTTGATTACTTATATAAAAAAAGTTATTTTTGATGGCATTGATAATTAAGTCATTATACAAATAATTTGAAAATATAAAAACTCGTTAGGATCAATTGTAAATGACCGTAATAAATCTCATTTTTTTCAAAAGGTTATAATTAATTTTTTTTATTTTTTTTAAAATTGTTTTTTGGTCACAGTTTTGAACTTTTACAGGAGACGAGACAGTGAATTTCTTTCTCGCGACTCAACAGTCGGCAAGGTGCGGTGACCATCAGGCTGTGCATACTGATTTTTGGCCCCTGTTATGTTTAGTAAACCTTTAAGTATCAAATATGATATTAAAAATACAAATATTCCATATTATTATTTATTATGGGACAAATTAAAACTTGTAGTTAAAGTTTACCTAGCCTTAAAAAAATTCTTGACTCCGCCACATTCTACACCCTTGATGAGTTCCTTGCACCCCCATTTCTTATTATTAAAAAATACACCAAGTTGGTCCACCCCATAGAAATTCAAAAAGAAAAGCCTTTAAAAATGATTTTTTGTTGAAATGTCCATATCATAGTACCTAGGAAAGTAATAAATAGACTTGGTATATAGTTAACAGGCTATCAGTTTGACCTCACCTAGATGTGGGATTTTGTCCGACAGGTAAAATGGGCCAATTCCATTAATAAAGTGGGAAAAAAATGCATTTAAAAAATGGCTTTCTTTTGAAAAAAAATTGTACATACCAAATAAAGGTCATTGTTTTAATTGACAATTAGTTATGACAATCTCGAACAAGATTCTAATTGGATGAAAATTAGATTAATCTTAATTATTATTGTGCTTTTATAAATATGAAATTCAAATTGCTTGTTATAATATGAGATAGATACTTAGCATTTTTATTTTTAAGATAATTTTAATTATATATTAGTTATTGATATAAATTGTTGATTTATGATTGAAATAATTATGATTTTTAATATTAATTTAGAACCCACTATCAAGCACTCTCACCAACACCAATTTAAAGTTAGGATACTTATTACACATTGACGTGATTATTACACCCATCATTCCATATTATTTTGGGTTCATATGTTTAAACAATCATTTTAGATTCCAAAACAAAACAATAGATTCATTTGATTGTAATTTCATTTACATTTCAAATTTCATTTCAAACTAAATTAAATAAAACAAGACATGTGTTGTTGGCACACATCACGGATACATCCAACAAAGCAAAAGAATCAAATTCTCACAAACTCTAAAACTTCATAGAACCATAAGATCAAGACATATTTATTAAAAAAAATACATAAATTGGGTCCACCCTATAGAAAATGACAAAGAAAAACCTTTTAAAAGCGACTATCTTTTGGGAAAAAAATATTTTAAGGCGGCTTAGAGTCCCAATTGTCCAATATCCATATAATAGTAGCTAGGAAAGCAACAAAAAGAGTTAGTACTATAATTAACAATCCAATAAATATTGTTTTTTGGAGTGTCTTCAATTGAGTCTATTTTCGTCACTTACCTATTTAAGCTAGCTCTAAACAGACACAATATGATGAATTTAATTACTAATAAGATCAGAATATACAAAAATATTATGTTTCTTAAATTATATCCCAAAAAATTCATTTCAATGAGTTGATATTTTCGCACATCACATATTTTATGAGAAAGCTAATTTAGGGGCCCACAATATATGATGTGTGAAGGTGTTAATTTATTTGGATAAATTTTTTGAAATATAATTTAAAAAATATAATATTACTTGAGAAAATAATAAGGTGAATTTAATTATTTGATGGTAGAGAATTTAATTAGGTAGAGATAGAGGTTTGAAAGGTAGAAACTAGAAATTGAAACACATGCCCCCCAAAACAAACACCACACATGTACACACAAAAATGGAACGCTCCATTACTGACGGTGGGACCCAACTACCACGGTCACTAGACTCACTGCTCACTACACGCTGGTGAATTTATTCCAATTCATTACTTCCGATAAAAGAAAAGGAAAACCCAAATAATCGTCGAAAGCAAAACAAATACTTTATTGCTTGATCATTCTCTCTCTCTCTCAGCGTGGACACCAAGCAATGAGCGACCCTGAACCTGTAAACGACGAAGAGCACTTCGACGTCCTCACCAAAACTGGTCAGAAAACTGGCCTATCCAAACCCAGGTGAGCGACACTATCTGCTTCGTTTGGTTGCTAAGAGACGCCGGAAAAGAAAATATATAAGGACGGAAAGTATGGAACCTTGTATGTCTACTGTTCTTTGGCTCTTAAAGACAACTAAAATCTGAACTTCTATGTTAAAACCCAGGTGGGTTTTAAATTGGGAGCGTTACAGGATCAAAATATTAGGAATTTTTTTAAACTTTCTTTCAAAGTTTCTCTGTAACTAAACAGAGTAAAATTGTGCATTCAGTACTTGATTATTTGTATTTTATGTTTTGTGCATTCAGTACTTGATTATTTATATTTTATGTTTTGTGCATTCGTCAATTTGTTATTTGGATCTTGTTTTTGTGATATATGATAGCGATGCCAGCAATTCTTTCCTAGTTCTGAGTTTCTGGATTTTAGTCAGCTTTTTTTGTTAGAAAATGGAGGAAAAGAAAAATTAATTTGTTATTGTTGCATGTCAGAGACAGTCTTTATGTTCTTCGCCTACATTATGTAATTGCTCTAAGTTCAGTTAAGCAAAGATCTTTGCTTTCTTTGGTTTGCCAATAGTCAGAAATTAAAACTGAATACCCCTCTCTCTATACACACACTCGCACCCCCCCCCCCCTCCCTCTTTCCTTCCAAATTCACCTACACACAAACATGTGCAATGGTTTGGTGATATTTTATTGGATTCCATACTCTTCAAGGAATTATAAAGTTTTTCATTAATGTCGAACAATGTGAAGGAAAAAAGTAAAAAAACAGCACGTGGCTGGGACAAAGGCTTAGAACTGACTGATTTTGATTGAGTTTTTTAGAAAAAAGTGGGTCTACTATGCATTGATGTTTTTTTCTCTTCCCCCCCACTAGTTTGGGATATGTATTAAATGTCTCTCCAAGTAAGGTCTATTCAAGGACATCATGATTTGGTTGGACGTTCAGGCCAAATTTGTGGGGCATGCTATGCAAATTCAGTGATTATATTTGGTTCAGCTTGAATGAAACAAATTTGTATCGAAGACAATCCAACTGATTCTGGACCATAACAAGTGGGCCTTTAGCCTAAAAGGTCTGTAAACAAAATTCTGTTTTCCAACCCAAGGCATGATTCTTCGTCCTGTTCACTATAATGTCATTTTTTTTCATAGGAAACACAACCATTTTATTGATTTAGAGTAATACATCAAAAAGGTAATGGGATGGACAAGATGTCCAACCATGAAATGGAAAAAAAAAAAAATCAACTCATAAGACTTAAGGGGCATACGAGGCCTTCCAATTGCCAATGTACAAAAGAGTGGAATACCATCAAAATCTTTAGAAGTGGAAGCCCACAACGAAGCCAAAAAAATAGATCTGATCCCATAAATCTTACTTTCACTCACCTCTATTCTCAAACCAAATTACCCAGATTTTGGTGAAAATATTGATGACCTACAATTTTACTCTCTTTTTTGAGCCAATATTCTTTTACTGATTTATCAGCATGATAGTGAGAAGAACTGGTTACTCAAAAAGCTTAAGCTGATAGGATGCATTGTAAATTATTTCATTATTCAATCAACTTGCTACCTCTCGTTTTTCCATAAAAGTTCAAGCTTGAGCTGTTAGACAGCACAGTGGTGTATTTATTTATTTTAGCAACAGTAGAAAACTATCATGAATTCTTCACACTAGATGTCCCTTGGATTAAAATATCTTGCTACTGTATAGGGGAGATGTTCATAGAGATGGAGATTACCATCGAGCTGTTCATGTGTGGATTTTTGCAGAGAGTACACAAGAACTACTTCTCCAACGACGTGCTGACTGTAAGGATTCATGGCCTGGGTTGTGGGATATCTCCAGTGCTGGTCATATATCTGCTGGGGATTCATCCCTTATCACAGCCAGGTAACTTGGTCCATTCTCATACATGCATTTTCGGCCGAAACTTGTTTTATAAGGATGTATATGCGCTTGGGTAATTTCCCTTGGGTTTCTGATCTCTATACTACTTCAATATAATGGATAAAACTTATTATTGTCTTTATATTGAGAGCTTTTGCTATTCATATATGTAACAGTTTAGTTTAAGTGTCACATACTTAGGCTTCCTGCCGTCCGGTTTAACTTGCATAAGTCCATAGGAGGAGTGGGTGGTAGCAACCGGATTATGTGAACCATGCACTAGATATTGTAGCAACGATACTTTGTGATTGTAGTCTACTTAAGCTTTAGATGTATTACCCATTGGTTATTTTTTTTCATTGTCATTTGTCATCCTATCTTGAAGTAGATTCCTTGGTGAATGGATTAACCAATGAGCTTTAGTGTGCCTGTCATAGTTATGGTTGTGTAGATACAGTCATATAAGTCACCCTAACTAAACTGATTCACCATACTATTATTGTTTTTGCTTCTTTATTAACGTATATTGACAATATTATCATATGGTTCCAATGAAAAATTGATAAAAAAAGAACTATAAGATGTTGTGGTCCAGTTGCCGCTAAGAATGACTACCAGGAAGCACAGGGAGTATGTGTTGATTACCACTGGTGCTAAAATGAATTTCTGCCTAGTGGATTTCATGTTTTGTTTGAATAACTGCTTAAACAGAATTGCTTTTTAATTTTTTCATATCTGTTGTGCTTATATGGTTTTCTATGCGTTCTTCACTTGATACAGATGTTATGCTAGATGCAATGATGTGTTTTTTGGTGGCTTGGGTGTTAAAACCAATTGCTTCTTGAGTGATGCTTATATTTGATATGAAGTTTTGCGTGCTTGCAGGAGGGAGCTTCAGGAAGAACTGGGTGTAATCCTTCCAAAAGATGCATTTGAATTGTTATTTGTGTTTCTTCAAGAGTGGTTGGTAGATCAAAACCCCTTGTCCTCTGATGCTACTAAATGCTCTTAATTTTAAAATTATGCTCAATGAAGACATTGTTGCGAGGCACTAATACTGATTCTGTGAACTCTTGCCTCTTTTCTCTTCTTTGAGCTTGAATCTTGAATTGATAGTATGTCATGTTAACAGAAAAAGAAAAACTGATAGTATGTCTAGAATTGTGAATTGTTGCATCTGCTATTGTTTGTGTGGAGCTTGTCCTACCCTAGTGCTATAATGTCTCTCAAATTAGTATGTCAGCCCAGTGGACCTTTCCAGATTCCATTCATTCCTGCGTGGTTTGGGTTGGATGTTATAACATGATATCATGTTGGTTTTGAGAAGTCGTGAGTCTAGTCTTAGTTGTTTGTTTTTGTTTTATCTGTTTAATTGTGGAATTAAGGGTGGGAATCATTACACAGTGCAATGGCTACATGCTTTGTCTAATAACCACTTCTACATTCAAATATGATGGCAACCACTATGTGTAAATAATGCCATAGGTTTTGTCTATATATAGTCCACCTATCCTACTTCCTCGATCAGCCAGGATCAAATTGAGTAATGATCTTTAGTGATTAGTAGGTGTGTTCAACAAATTATTTTGGTAGTGTTATTTAATTGTCCGTGTCTTCCCATGTATGAATCCAGGTTTCGCGGGAAAGAAGGGGATAAAGCTTGTCTCACATTGGTATGAGCCTACTAGCTAGGCTTCTAACTCCTATTAATTGGTGTTGTATTGGATACTTAAGCATTTTATATTAAGATGGATGAAATTGCAGATGGTATCCCCGTGGTTTCTAAAATTACATTGACACCAGAAATTGTTGGAAACAGGGGTTAAAGACACCAATTCTTTTACCATTTTACCCTTATAAATTATAAACAGAGCACACCCACTCGTCTTGCATGACAAAAGCAACATGTTTGCCAAGCACACTCATCTCTCTCTCTCTCTCCCCTCATAAGTATCTCTCTGTCCCATTTCTCTTCTTCTTCGTCTTCCCCTTCTCACATAAATACATAGAGCCCTCTCTTCATCCAGTTGCTCTGTTCATTTCATCTGAGATTTTTTATCCCTCCACCGATTTTGTCTACATCCTTCAATCTGACCCACAACCTCACTTTGTATATATGTGTGTGTTTGTCTATTACATAGATCTTGGATTATGAACAAGTTTTGGGATCCCTATTGATGAATTGGGTTAATGGATTTTGATTCCATAATTGATAAATTGCTCGTGGTTTTGTGATATCTAATGTGTCAAAGGGTACGGAGTGTTGAGTTTTTGGAGTGTGATGACTTGTTTGGTTTGATGGTTTGAGGAACAATGTGACAAATCAGTGCCTTTTTGTGATACATGGTTCAAAGTATCAACCGAGACCAGGTCAACTCGGTCGAGTCGTATCCATCTCAGCAATTGCCAATCCGATAACGATACACCAATATAACGAGATTCAACTGAATTGGTTCTGACTCGGTTACAACTCAGTGGTATCGGCCCAACTCGGAGCTAAATCGGTCAGACTCGACCGAGTCGAACCAAATCAGACCGCTATGGTGCAATTAGATTTGAAAAATCTGGGCAACAAAAACAAAAAAAAAACAGAAAAAGGAGGAAGAAAATGGGTGAGATGAAGTATAAGAAGACGTAGAAAATCGAAGAATCACCTTGACTAGAATGCCTCTTCTTCTTCTTTCGGTGGAGAACCCATAGCAGATCAATACTAGTAAGAATCCTAAGTTTACGGATCGAAAAATTGTCAGTCGCTTCTTGTTCGCTTATAGATCGAAAAAAACTTTCCTTCATTGTTTGCTACTCGTTCACTCGCTCTATCTCTCTCTCTCTCTCGTGGTCGAGAGGCAACGATAAAACACAGACCCACTCAACATGGTTTTTATATTTTATGGGCCACACCCCTTCCTTTGCTTTTAGTCTTTACATGTGTGTTTATATTTTATTGGCCCTTATTCTTTATGTATGGAAAATCTCTAATTCAATTAGTAAATTATTGGAAAAAATAATTAGAAAAAAAAATAAAATAAAATTAGAACAATGACTCATTAATCTATTAATTGAACATAAAATTATTCATGTAAAGTATTGAGATCTACTCGTACTTGTCAAATTTATAATTGATGGATACATATTTGTTGTTCTTGTTTTTATTTATATATTTTTTTTAAATTAGGTACTAGTAAGTAAAAAAAATTCTAATAACATATGTTTAAAGTTTAGTGTTTCCTTAAATAAAAACATTCAACCTAAATGATGATAAATATTTTCTGTATCGTTCTTATAATTCATTTTTATTATGTTTAATATGTTAAATAATGTATTTTTTAGATATAATGCATGAATGATGATATTTACATATTTTTAAAATTTTTCATGATTTTTTTAATATTTTTTTGGGTCTTCTATCTGGCGTTTTGAGCGTCTCAGCTGATATCACGCCGCGACACAGCGACTGATGTGTCTTAGTGTCCTTTGAGTCGATGACCGATACTGCGATTTTGAACCATGTTGTGATGACATAAATGTTGTATATTTTTTTGTGCGTGGTTTCTTGACCTTTTATTTTCTTGTTTCCTTAGGATAGAATTAGTGTTTGTGAGAAATATTAGAGTGACATCGATGAAATCCTCTTGTTAATTTGGATCAAAGAAAGAAGGGAGAAAAGAGTAGGATGAAATATTATTAAGAACACAACTAATCAGTATTATAACATTAATCAAAAATACCTACTAGAGCCCTTATATAGTAGTAGGGCAACATAATACTGAAAAATGACTAAAATATTCCTAATACTAAACTACTCTGACAACCCGCCTCAAACTTATGATGTGACAGTAGAAAACAATAGAAATTTGCTAAGAAGAAAAAGAAAACACATAATGATGTGAGACTTCGTTAAGAAATCTGTCAACTACATAATAGGAGGAATGAATGGAAGATAAATCGTGTCCAACTGAAGATGATGACGCACAAAATGACAATCAATCTCAATATATTTTGTATGCTTATGAAACACCTAATTGTGGGCAATCTAAATGGTACTGGTGTTTTTGCAATAAATAGGTGTGAGAGCAGACAAATGGATACCAAGATCAGCAAGTAGTTTTCTCGTGATGTGACAGTAGAAAACAATAGAAGTTTGCTAAGAAGAAAACGAAAACGCATAATGATGTGAGACTTTGTTAAGAAATCTGGCAACTACATAATAGGAGGAATGAATGGAAGATAAATCGTGTCCAACTGAAGATGATGACGCACAAAATGACAATCAATCTTAATGTGTTTTGTACGCTCAGGAAACACCTAATTGTGGGCGATCTAAATGATACTGGTGTTTTTGCAATACATAGGTGTGGGAGCAGACAAATGGATACCAAGATCGGCAAGTAACTATTGCAATTAGACTATCTCAGCCGTGGTGGAAGCCTTAGCATGATAGATCAGCAAGTAACCAACGCAACTAGACTATCTTAGCTATGATGGAAGCCTTAGCACAATACTCGGCCTCAGCAGAAGAACGAACAACTACAATTTGCTTTTTACTCTTCCTGGAAATGAGGAAATTACCAAGAAAGAGAAAAAAAATCAGTAGTGGACTTACAATTGGTAGAGTCGCCAGCCCAATCAATATCGGAGTAAGCTTTGAGCTCCGACAAGAAAGAAGAAGAAAATAATAGACTTTGATACTGGGTACCCCAAAGATAACGAAGAATTGTCGCCCAGTGAACTGTGGTAGGTGAGACAACAACTTGACTAACAATATGAACTGCATAAGAGATGTTTGAGTGAGTAACTGTAAGATATACCAAACTATTAACAATAGTGCGATACAGTGTAGGATCAGATGAAAGAGTGTATTCAAAAGAAGAATAACGAGCATTAAGCTCTAAGGGGGTGTCTCAACTATTCAAGTGTCTGTTAAGTGGGCTCGTTGTATAATATTTGATGCATACTTTGATTGAGAGAGGAGATAACACTTAAGAGAAAAGACAATCTGAATACTCAAGAAATACCAGAACTGACCCAAATTCTTCATTTCAAAATAATCTTGTAATTGATTTTTTAATAATAAAATACCAACAGTGTCATCACCTGTAATGATCATATTATCGATGTATAATAAAAGTACAATAGAGCCAGAGGGTCAGGACCTCAGAAAAAGATCAGAATCATAGTCACTGGCACGAAAAGCCAAACTACAAATGACAGAAAAATTTGACAAACTACATCCTAGGAGCCAGTTTAAGACTATAATGCCCTGTGGAGTTTGCATACTAGACGAAGACTATGAGATACTCTAGGAGGGGAGGGGCCCTAAATATTTTTTCAGTCAAATCTCCATTAAGAAAGATATATTTTACATCCATCTGAGAAAGACTCCACAGATAAATAGCAACCACTATAATCATAGTGCGAACAATAACACGAGCAAATGTTTCTTCATAGTCTATGTCATATTCTTGAGCAAATCTCTTGATTACCAACTAGGTCTTGTACCGTTCCACAGAACCTTCAGATTTGATTTTAATTTTATAAACCTACTTACAACTAATAGTGCGTTTGTCAGAGGGTAATGACACCAAATTCCAAGTACCAGTCTTATGTAAAGCAGCAAGTTTCTCATCCATAGCCTATTTTCAAATAGGGTTAAGAACAATTTCCTTACAGGATGTAGGTTCAGAGAAGCTAAGAAAAAACAAAAATTACTAGAATAGCAAGAATTAGAAAAATCAAACTAGTCTGAACGCTTACGAGGTCGTTGAGGATAGCATGAAACATAATCCACATTGTCAGAACTTAATTGAGTGATAGTAGAGAAAGTTGGAGGCACCACATTTGTAGATGAGATAACTGGAGTCTTGTGAACATAGATATGCACAATAGGAGGAGTGACCGGTGAATTATATGAGGAATGTACATTAGAGATAGTCATATCACGAACATAAGAGTCAAGTGGGAACATCAGTTGGAAATGGATCAATATAAATGAGATTAGATTTATGCAAATATGAAGAACTTGGTGGAATAGAAAAGAAAGGAATATGCTCCACAAAAACTACATGACGAGAAACATAGAGTTGGTGTGTAACAGGATCATTGAAACGATACCCTTTTTGACCTTCATCATAACCAAGGAAAACATATAAAATTGAACGAGCAGAAAGTTTAGTGCGAAGAGCACTAGGAAGTAAGATAAAAACAAGTGTATCCAAACACACAAAAGAAAAAATAATTAGGTGACTTACCACACAATTTTTCAAAGGGAGAAATTCTAAAAGTGAGAATAGTGGGAATGCAATTAATTAGATAAACTGCAGGAAGAATTGTTTTTCCCCAAAATGAACTGGGAACATTTGCAGACAATAAAAGAGAGTGTGTTGTCTCCATAATATATCGATGTTTATGCTTTACTATATCATTTTGTTTTGGTGTGTCAGTACAAGAAAATTGAGAAATAGTGCAATTAAATTTTAATAGGTCACGAAAAGAATTAAAGGAATATTCTCTTCCTTGATCACATCTAAAACATTTAATAACGAAGGAGTATTGAGTGCGTATCACGGCACGAAACTCGGTGAATATAAAGAAAAATTCAGAACGACTCTTCATAATATCTGGACTCTCCTTTTGTGGGAATAGGAGTAGGTCCCACACATCAGAATGAATAAGATCAAATGTGCAAGAGAGCTAGTAAGACTTTTATTAAAAGGAGCAGGTCCCACACATCAGAATGAACAAGATCAAATGTGCAAGAGAGCTAGTAAGACTTTTATTAAAAGGTAATGTAGTAAATTTAACTAACTTGCATCCACTACAATTAGAAATGTCATGACACTCTAAACTATCAAAACTACTAGTGGAGGTTAAGAACTTCAATCAAGGAGGAAAAATATGAACAAGACGAGAATGCCACAAATAAAAGCTAGAAGATTGTGGATACAAATGAAAAGAAGACAAATCAACAATAGAAGTAGGAGTATCTGGAACATGTAGCTCGTCCAACACATTCAACCCTCCCCTTCTACTACCTGTCCCAATCAGCTTCTTAGAACGTGGTTACAGCACAGCACAGCACAGCCATAAGAAGAAAAATGAACTAAAAATCTAGAATAAAAAACTGACTAACTAAAATCAAAGTCAAAGTAAGTTGAGGGATATAATCAACATATGAAAGCGTGAGGTGAGGGGAAATAATACTCCCAATACCGGTCAATATCATATGAGTACCATTTGCTGCAAGTACATATACACATGGAGGAGAGAAAGTAGATGTAAACAAAGGAGGTTCACTGGTCATATGATGCGTAGCACCTGATTCAAAGACTAGTTGTTCAAGGTATACCTGAAGGACCTGAAGTGAAGAACCTATTAAAGAAGAGGTTCTGATGGTCTAAAGAGAATCACAATTCCCACTAGTCATGATTGTAATAGAAGTCCTCCAAAACTAGTAAGAAGTCCCAAGGCTAACTCCAGCAAAAAAACACAGCAGTCTGAGTCTCACTTCACATCAATGGGAGAGGTAGCAGCAAACCAGAATTCCAGCAACCTCACAGCCTAAAAGTCACACATCACAAAAGCCCAAAAGATCAAAGACTTATCCAGAATAATAGTAGCACAACAATCTGAGTCTCAATTCACATCAATGGGAGAGGTAGCAGCAAACCAGAATTCCAGCAACCTCACAGCTCAAAAGTCACAACTCACAAAATCCTGGAAGATCAAAGGCCCAGCCGAGAAGAACTGCAGGTAAACCCAGCCCAAACTTCACAAATCCAGTCCAGAACAACTTCTTTTTCAAGGCCCAGCAACAAGTAGGAAGAAAATAATGTTATTTCTGTTGTTCAATGCAACACAGACACAGTGTAATACTATGCAAGCAGGAACAGATCTGCAAATCAGCAAAAGAGCAACACAGCATGCCAACAAAAATAGCAATCCAAATAGTAGATCCCAACGTAGAAGACCCAAACCAAGAACTGAGAACCAGAAATTCCCACGTTTTCGGCACAAAAGTTCACTGATTTCGTTCAAGCTGCTTCAAAATCTTCAATCAATCACAGATAACCCCAAATTGCATCTTTCAAGATGGATTAAAAGCAGAAAAGTTGAAGAAATTTTGCAGAAAGCACAGATCAAAAAGTTTTAGTCATATTTTTAGAAAATATTCGAAAAATAAAAAAACTTCCAGATGAGCACGAAATCAAAAGCCAATTGCACCATATCAAAAGCCCATACAAAGTCGATCAAGATGGTGGCTGCCCTCTTTGCTGGTTGATGACATCATCATCCTTGTTGGTGACATCAGACTCAGTATTTTTCTTTGATGAAGAATGTTGTCTTTCTTAATATGTTTAGGATTGACACATCACTCTGATACTATGTTAATTTGGATCAAAAAAAGAAGGGAGAAAAGAGACTGATGAAATATTATGAAGAACACAACTATGCTGTATTACAGCATTAATTGAAAATGCCTACTAGAGGCGCTTATATAGTTGGGCAACATAATACTGAAAAATGACTAAAATATTCCTAATACTAAAATATTTTTACATCTCTAATCATTGACTAATGGAGGGGGTTTCCCATGTAATATAATGTTAAACCAATACGGGTGATGTTCCATTTCAGAAATCACGAGAGTAGTAGTTTCAGTAAACTCTGAATGTTGTGAGTTTGATGTTCCCTTTTATTACATCCCAAGTAGTTGAGACATGGTTGTTGGATTGAGCTGTGATAGAAGAGACTTCAAAAAGAATAAAAAGAAAGGAAAAAAAGGTGAAAAACAAGAAAATAACTTAATTTGTTCTGGTTGTGAATATTCTTTGGCAAGTAATGTAAAACCCCTTCCATGTTAATTTTTACTTTTAGGATGTGTGGTGTGGACACGAGCAAGAATCGAAATGTCGTGTCGACACGCTCGAAACATACGAAACGTTTTGGTTTTTTAACACACCAACATGAAACTAGGTAAGTATCCCAAAAATCAAGAGTTTCGATCGAAACGTTGGTGTTTCGGCCGAAATGCAAATAGTGATTCGACTCCTTCAGCAAAACAGATAAACGAACATAAAAATAAAAGAAGAGAGAGAAGAAGAAAAATGCTATAGATATCAAAAAGAGAAGAAAGATCCAGATTACGCGAAGGTCGCGAACACAGATCTGAGAAGATCTAGCCTCCAGGTTGGTTTTTCTCCTTCCGTTTTCTTCTATCTTCCTTCTCAACTTCTTCTTCCCTCTTGTTCTTCTGAGTTGCATCTCTCGATTGGATCTGCATCTCTTGGGTGACGAGGCTTGACCAATTGCCCTAATTCCTTTCTCTCTCTCTCTCTCTCTCTCATGCGTTTGGAATGGTGTGGGTGACTGCCTATTTAATTTCCTTTTTATTTTGTTTTAATTAACCTTAATGCCATTTCAGCCCCCTTTTTCTTTTATAATTGTTAATAGCCCCTATAATTAATAAATAGCTTATTATTGTTAATGAACTTATCAAAATAACTGCAATTAATTTTATGGTATATAACAAGAGATACCACTGCTTACCAGCATATGCACCTTAAAAATGGCATTTTTAACTGAAGATATCGAACAACCTCATTCAAGTTCACATTCCATCTCTTAACCATTCTCATGATGGTGGTGTAAAAGGACACAACTTATAAGAAAGTATTGAAGTCTTTACCTCAGGTCCTTGTCCTTGCCAAGTTTGTTTCTTTTCTTTTATACGAAGCTACAAAAAAATCCTGTCTCTCTTGTCTGCATTATGTAGCAATTGTTTCTTGCACACGTCTGTGTCGATGAATTTTATATGATTTATACGTTAATTATTATTTCCTTGAAATTTGTGTGTATCTGGTGGACCATCATTTGAGTCGAAAAATTAAGTGCATGTGCACTTGTTTCTGTTATAAGCTGTTCTACTAGTTTAAGCTTTGGTGTGTATTCATGAAAACTTCTATCTGTCAATGAAGTAGGATCACCTTTGCATTTATTGCAGTGTCATAAATGATGGCAAATTCATCAACAATGAATTCAATGATGTATATTTGGTGACAACATTAGTTCCAATTCCTTTGGAGGCTTTTACTCTTCAGGTCAGGAAGTTACTTTCTGTCATTAGATGATTATATAACTTACTTTGAATACTGACCGTTTCAAATTTAGTCCTCATATATAGATGATGCATGTGTCTGTTGTTATTGTGTTTTTTGTTAAGCTGAATTGAAGCAGATGCTGTAGTTGCACTAGCTTTATTTAATATAGGGCTAATGGTATTTTGCTTCTTGAAAGATTTCAAAATTTGATTTTGCTCTCACAAAGATAATAACCCTCACATTGGTCCTTTAATTTCTCAAAAGTGTAGCAATGTTCCCCAACCCCTAGACGGTGTTTGATTTCCTATAGAGATATCATAATGTCACTATGCCCCTTAAAAGATGTTAAAGTTGCATTTGTGTGTGGCACTTGGGGTCTCAACAGATAAAAAATGGGACTTCTTTTTCTAATTGGAGCATGTTGCTAATTTTTAAAGAAACTCAGGGTGCAATGTAAGACTTTTAATCATTTGGGGGGGGGGGGAGAAAATTTTAAAATCTTTCAGAGAGTAAAGTGCCATTCGCCGTTTAATATATTGGAAGTTTATCTTATTTACAAAAGAATGGTTTAGATGGCATCCAAGAGGGTTGCCATATAACAACCTAGAGAGAGAGAGAGAGAAGGGAGAGGGGATGGCTGTATGGCATGTATTGCCATGTGACATCCAAGTTGATCTTAGAATTGTTTTACTTATGTGGGTGGCTAAATTTTAAATTTTCCTCATTTATTACTTGTTGGAAGGCTGTCCTCAAATCTTAATATCTAGAAATTTTTGCTTTTATAAAGTATCAAATGAGGTTTTATTTTAGGCTATCATTAATTCTTTTTGAATCTACATATATCATTGAGTATGAAACTTCGAGAATAAAGTTCTCATTTATTCAGCAGACTACATGCAGTACGAATCTATAGTTTAAGTGCTTGATATGGATATATGGAGTTTCTATTATTAGCTCTATTGGATAATAGTAAATCTGATCAAAAAAATATATTGGATACTAGTTATGTGTGCAGTAGAGTATTCGAAGCCTTTTATCCTTTGGCTCATGAACTTCTGGTTTTTTTTAGCATTGCGGGTTTTCCCACTATTGACTGCCCTTGGGCCCCAAATTTGTTTTTTGTTTAGGGGTCTCTGAATTTTATACCCAGTTGCTAGCAATTTGGTCCTTGCTAAGAAAACTTACACAAAAGATGCATATATCTCTCTGTGTGTGTTCTAGCTTTTCTTGTCTTTTTTTTTTAATCAATTGTCATGCATTATAACTTCATAATCAAAGATATACTGCTGGGCATAGGAGTCTGAAAGCTTGTTTTGGACCTTTTTATTCCTTTTAGGAATCTGAAGTCTCAGCTGTCAAATATATCTCCTGCGAGGAGTATAGAAGCTTGCTTGTTAAAGAAGATCCTGCGTATGTCCCGTACGATGTTAATGATCAATATGGTCAGCTCTTTGAAATAATTGCAAAAAGGTATGGTATATAGAACTCGTAGGAGACTCTTATTTTTCAACACACTGGCTATAGAATAGAGAAGAAATAATGGAGCCATTGCTTGGGCGTTGCTTTTGATGATTCATTTCCATTTTTTTCTTTTTCTTTTGATAACTTTTTCAAAATTGTGATTTTTTTCCTGATAAATGTATCTTGCTTTGTTGCATCTATAAAATATGTTTTTGAACTCAAAAACTTTTTTTAGTGGACTTAATTGGATAAGACAGAAGTATTTTGATAACTAAAATTTCCCACACACCCACATATACATACACATATAGCTTATATACATATATATTTATAGATGTGTACATGAATAGTTACTTTATTTTTTGTTTCAATGAAGCATTTAGGTTGTTTTTGTGCCTCTTGCTGGGAATTTGTATAGTGGTTGTCTATAAAATAAAACTCCCTACAGAAGAGTTATAACATCTTCCCAATTGATCTTTGGATTTCCATACAGTGGCTTCATGCTCATATGACTTAATTGAAAATGTAATTGCCATAGGTACAACGAAAATTTGCAAGCCCGGAGTTTAGCTCTACAGAAGAAGCTGTGTCGTTATGCTCATATCTCCCTTAGTGCAGAGGTTGTCCACCATTTAGTCTACTTTTCCTTTTCACTGATATGACTCTGCTATTGGATTCTTTGGATGGCAATAATATGAACACAGTTTTCATATAGCTCAAAGTTATGGTATATCAACTTCTCCAATCCTGACCCTTCTATTTGAACTTCCTGACTTTGATACCCATCTGTACCTGTGGCCAAGGATGCAGATTTGTAGACCATGATTTTTTGTAGAGATTTAACCCATTTATCATGCGAGGTCTAACTCGTATGCCATGTCAAAGACATCCAACCCAAAACCAATTGGTAATGGGTGAACAAGCATTCAACCCAAAACAATGGGTTCTGCAGGTGACAGGGGGATTGGTAGGTGTCTCAGGGTCAAATATTCAAAACCCTGGCCTCCTCCAAATCTTGAAATTCTATCTAATTTTGGGAGTTGTAGTTTTATGCAAGGATTCTCCACTCTAAGATTTCAAAAACTACTAGAAAAGAGACGCAGCCTTTCTATTTACACTAACGACAAAGCTTCTAAAGGAAACCTCTACAATACTTTGCACATAAACTCTCCAAAGTGCAATTAATTTCCAAACACCCCAAACACTTCACTTTTGTTACAACCCCCCCTCCAAAACAAAAAAAAAAAGACCCAAAAATGTCCCCTGTAAAGTTCAGCTAGGCCATATTAGGCTTACAATCTGAAACCAGACTTGTTATATAAATATATACATATGATTTGCATCATACAATTTGTCACCTGGATGCACTGGAAATGGTACTTATTGTAAACTTTTTGTGATACAGTTGATGGGGGTCACTGATGCTGATAAAGAAGCTCTGGCACTACTTATTAAAGCAGCAACAATCATGGATGAAATTTTTCACCTGCAGGTTGTATCTGTCACACACCTATAGAGGCTCCTGAATATCTTGATGCATGTGCAATGTTTGCAGATGTTTTTCTGCCCCTTGGATGGATTACTGCTTGATATTTTACCTCGATTCAGATATTTAGTTCAACTCTTCCTTTTCAATTGTCAATACGTGGGAAATTCGAAAGTAAAAAAGAAAAAGTTTATGGCCGTGCCATTTAAACTGGATAGTCCCACACAAAATTTGCAGGATGTGGCCGTGCTTAGTTTTGTCTTTATGTTGATAGAAATAGGCTCTCACTGTTTCATGTATTGCAGGGTGCAGACGTATTCATGCCACATCAGTCAATGAGGTTTTAGGGAAATTGTTTATTTTGAATCAATGTGATTTTATTCAAAGGGTTTAGGTTGTTAAAAATGAAAAAAAAAATATATTTTTGAATTTTTTTTCTGATAGCAGTGGCTGTTCAAGCTCCATTAACTAAGCACACTCTGTGTTTCTTGTGGAAGGGTCAGTCTGTGAACCCTTCAGTTTTCTGGTAGCATGCTGTTTGATCCACTTGATCCTTGTCCTTGTAGATGCATGTTGAAACAAACAATTTTGTGGATAACATTGTTGGAAAACTCCGAATGTACACAAAATTCAACATGTTACAATGGGTAATGTCCCAAATTAAAGAACAAAGATCGTTAGGTGTAAGAAAATGCTTGATGTTTGGCAATTTTCAGGTGTTCACAGTAGGAAAAATAGGAGCAAACTGTTGTTTTTTTTCAAACAACATGCAGTGCTAGATGGATTGGAAGGTGATGTTGGATTGACTTCTCAAACCAAACCATAGCTGGCTTAGAGCTAAAAATTAAATTTCTAAAATTTGTTATAAAAGCCATAGATGCCAATAGAAAATATTGCACATAAACATGAGTCAATATAATTCCCTATTGACCCCAAGAAGATTATTTTTGATAAAAAAACATCCAAAAATAGCTGCCTAGGTTCAGATAGACAGAACATGGAATTAAATTTTATTTTGAAACGTTTTCGTTTCCATGGAAATCGAAATGAATCATTGATTGCATAACAAAATTTTTATATATCGAGATGTTTTGAGGTGTTTCGGCATGTTTCGGCCACTGTTTTAGTTGTTTTGACTAATGTTTCGGAAATAAAATTTTTCTTTATTTACATCTTGTTTTCGAAATATTACCGAAATGTTTCCGTTTCCAAGCTCACAACTATGTTCTGAAACGAAATTTTGATCCTTAGACCAGAACTCCATGACATGCAATTTCAAAACTTATTTATTATTATAAACGCTTAGTTATCTCTTATTATACATGCTTAGTTGTCTCTTGTTATACATGCTTATATAGTTTTCATCACATGATTGTCTATGACTCTATATATGTGCTTATATGGGTACCAAAGTTGAGGGGGACAGCTTAATTCCAAGATGATATGGAAGTTGTAAAATTTGTAGAATCAACTTGTTATATTCATTTGATGAAGTGACTTATCTTGTTTTTTTCAAATAATAACCTGGAAGTTGTAAACCTGTAAGCCTTAACATTTTTTTATGAGATATTGTGTATGTAAGGGACATCCCTTGTATTGTTTCAGACTGATGGATATCTTATGTACCAAATGGATATATTAATTTAAATATCTTGATAATAACGACATTGACACCTTCATTTTAGTTGCCCTGTTATAAAGTGGGGAAGATATATGAGATAAACGTAGGTGATTATGAATATGTTTCTTGTCACTGGCTTTCTAACATCTATTAGTGGTAATATTTGGATTGTCGTGAAGGAAAAATTGTTGGTGCTTAGCCAGGAAGGGGACCATGGTTAGATTTTCTATAGACACGACCTGGGGTTTTTATGTCTCACTACTGGGCTGCTTTTTTACATTTCTGGAAGATGGTATCATGAACATTCAAATTTTCTAACTTGTATATATATTGGTTTTTACCCTTTTTTTGGGTTAAAGCCATGTCCACTGACTGTTTTGTGTTGCGATGCATGACATGGAGCTAGGCTATAGAAATAATTGGTCCACGTTAATTTGTATATAGTTGTGTAGGATTCTGATTAGCAGTTGATTTTCTTCTTATTTTTGCATCTTTTTTTATTTTCTTTTTGATTTCCCTTGAATCAGGTTTGGTACAGCAATCCATCTTTAAGGGATTGGCTAAAGGTGCATGCTGACAAATCTCATTTGGACAAGCTAAAATGGATGTATTACTTAATTAATAAAACTCCATGGTAAGTTTTTACCTTGAAAAGTCCTCTTTAGTGTTTATATATCTCTGTGAAATGGATTATCTCTGTGAAAAAAGGTCCATCATTCTAATTTTTCATATAATCTAACATTCCCCCTGAAGCTAGTTCATGAATATTACACATGCTTAGCTTACAAAAAATGCTATGAAACATCTTACTCGACACCCATGTAGTTAAGACCTCGTTCAACTGTTCCCCAACCACAAAAAGAGTGCAAATAAGGCTAGAGCTTCTCTTCTTTTTAACGAAATGAAGGCAATTTCATTGCACTTGGTTCGATCGTGTTGAACAGTTGCAATTAGCTTAAAAATGGAAATGTTTCAGAATTGTTTTGGAAACATCTTAGAAATATGATGGAAAAAATAATTAAAAATTTGTTTGCAAAACATTCCGAAACATTGATGGAAACACTTGAAAAACCTCAAAATATAGGAATTTTGAAATTCAATCCTTGATTTGATTTGATTTGATTTACTTGATCTTGGAGTATAGATAGTCTAGTTTATTAGGATTTCTTTTCCCTTTTTTACCCTTACTATGATTTTTATATTTTGCCTAAACTACAAGGATGTTTAAGTCACCCTGTATTATTTTTGGATATATATACGGGGCTCTACTCTTAATTTGAGCATCCCTTTTTGACTCACATATTTCTCTAGTTGGTATCAGAACCAAAACCTAAGCCCCTAACCCTAACCCTAACCCTAGCCTCCTACACCAGCAACCAGCAGCCTCCACTCAACAACCAGTGCTGCCACCAGCAACCAGCAACATACACCGAAACCGACTGCCTTCCACCGAAACACCGACAACACTGAAACTCCAAAATGCAACACCGACTGCTGCCATAACCCAGTAATACCCACCGAATCCTCACCTGCTCACCCAGCAACCCATCCAGCAATCAGTAATACCCACCGACTGCTCACCCGGTCAAAACGCTGACAACCCATATTAAACCGATACCCAACCCACAACCCATACATATTAAAACCCAACTCAGCCCACTGCCCATCCTCAAATCCAACCCAGCTGTCCCGCCTTCGTGCTTTTCGCTCTTCGTCATAGTATCGCTATCTCTGCGCGCCAATGTCTTTATTTTCCTGGATTAGAGCATCTATATTTTTTTAAGAGGGGTTGAACCTTTTTTTTCTGTTAATCTGTCCTTGATGCAGTAGATCACTAATTTATATATTTTTGGATTTCTGGGCACCGTGACCTGATTATTTGGGAGCTTTTTGGACCTTCTTTATTTGTCGTTATTGTTCGACTGAAGGTATATTGTTCTCCCTTATTTTATTCCTCTATTTATCTTAGAGTTGTTTTTTGTCACGGGTGCCCTAGTATTGTTGTTGATATGACTACTACTGAGGGACTTGAGAACTCTACTCTTGACACCTCTACCGTTGAGACATCTATGGGTACTTCCACTTTTATGTTTGACCAGTATACAGTACCTACTAGCACCGTTGCATTACCAGCACTGCCGGGCATGATCTCAGAAAGTTACGGCACAGTTGTTGAATGGTCGTAACTTCGCTGAGTGGTTCCACTCATTTCAGCTTTTCTTAGGCCGTGTAGGGAAGCTTGGTTGGCTGACGGGATCTCACCCAAAGCCAGCTGATGCCGACCTTGGATATTCTGCATGGTTCTCTGAGAACTGTGTCATTCTTGGATGGTTATTTGGCTCAATGGAGCCCTCTGTTTGCAGGATCCACCAGTTTTATAGCTCAGTTCTGAAGCTATGGAGCGCATTATCAGAGATATATTCTTAGTCAGGACGGGGAGTTCGTGTTTATGAGCTTTCTCAGGAGCTCTCATATGCTCGGCAGGGAGATATGACCGTTCAGGATTATTATGGCTATTTGACCCAGCGCTGGCTTGAGTATGAGACTCTACGTCCTCTTGCTGCTATTTCGAAGATAGAGCCCGAGGGAGTAGCATTCTTGCATACTCGAGAGCAGGAGGATAGGATTCATAAGTTCCTTATGGGGCTTCGTGATGAGTTTGAGGGACCTCGTTCTCAGATCTTGTTGATGTTGACACTTCCTTCTCTTTATGAGGTGTATGGGATGATTGAGCAGCATGAGCGTCGAGTTTGTATTTCATCACTTCCAGTTGCAGCTTTGACTCCTTCGGTTGACCAGATGGCCCTTGCAGCTACTGTAGGGTCTCGTTCAGAATCCTCAGTCAGGGATGGGCAACGCTCAGACCAACGCCGTCAGGGCGCCCCAGATCAGCGCAGACGGGGGGATTCCCGTCAATGTGATTATTGTGGCCGACCAGGACATCTCAGGGCTACTTGCTGGAAGCTCCATCCAGAGCTTAAGCCACCTTCTTGTAGCCGTACTGTTGTTATTGCTGAGGTACTACCGCCACTCCTGCTGTTGCTTCTCCTTGGCAAAGTGATATGGATGCTATCACTTCTCGATTAGATATACTTATGTCTGCTCTGACTTCTCAGAGTCTGACTACTACTGCTGTCACCACTACAGGTATATGCCTTTCACGCTTGTGCCAGTTTTCACGCTTGTGCCACTTTTGACGAGCCGTTACATACACATGTTCAGTTAGCAAATGGAACATATGCCCCTATTGTTAGTAGGGGTACAGTCCGTCTCCCAGATGGCCTTACATTACATTCGGTTTTTCATGCGCCAAAGTTGGCTATGAATCTATTATCTGTACATCAGTTAGCAAGAGATTTTCACTGTGCGGTTGTATTCTTATCTGATTCGTGTTATTTGCAGGACCTGAGTACCAGGAGGATTATTATTAAGGGACATGAGAAAGATGGACTGTATTATCTTGGCAATCCACCTCCAGTTTTACCAATTCCTTCACTTACATCACCTGCACCTGCTTTGTCTTTTTCTGTTCCTAGCTTGCATGCTAGTATTTTACCTAGTAGTTGTCGTTATGATTTTTCGTCACAAATTGTTTAGTTGTGGCATGACCGTTTTGGACATACAAATTTTAAATATTTATGTATGTTGTTTCCTACTTTGAGTAATGCTTGTGTTGGTGGTAAACTTGATTGTGTTATCTGTTCCCTATCGAAACATGTTAGGGCCAATTATATTCCTCGCATGCACCAGTCACCCATTTGACCTAATACACTCTGATGTTTGGGGACCCTCTCCCGTTACTGCTCTGTCAGGTGCCAGATATTATGTGACATTTATAGATGATCATACCCGTTGTACTTAGGTCTACTTTTTGCATAGACAGTCTGATGTACTCCCTATAATCACTCAGTTTTTACAGATGATTAAGACACAATTCGATGTCATTGTTCGTGTTCTTCGTTCGGATAATGCCAAAGAATATGTGTCTTGACGCCTTAGTGTCTCACCTTTCTTCTCAGGGTATTCTTCAACAACTCACTTGTCCATATACTCCTGAGCAAAATGGTGTTGCTGAAAGAAAAAATAGGAGTTTGATAGGGATGGTACGTTGTCTACTTAGAGGCATGAAGGTTCCAAAATCTTATTGACATTTTGCTATTTTGACTTCTACCTTTCTGTGCAATCATACGCCGAGTCGTGTTCTTCAGCATAAGGCTCCCTTATAGGTCTTATTTCCTGAGCGGACATTTTTTCCGGTCCTCCCTCGTATTTTTGGATGCACATATTTTGTTCAGGATCGGTCTCCTACTCGTCATAAATTTGATGATAAAGCGATTCGTTGTATCTTTGTGGGCTATTGTCATCAATCTAAGGGGTATCGGTGTTATGATCCTATTAGGCACCGTATGTATCACAGTCTAGATGTTACCTTTCTTGAGCATATTCCTTATTTTCTTTTCAGTCCTTTGTCTGCCCCTCCAATTGATGATACTCCCTTTGATTTTCCATTACCACAAGAGTCAGAGTCATTGATCACTATTCCTACAGGGTTATCCGTTTTTCCTCCAAGGGAGTCACTCATCCTTGTCAGTACAGAGTTACCAGTCTCTCTTCCTTTGTAGGTGTATGTTCGTCGTCCTCGCTCTCATCACCCTGCTAATATCCCCTCTACCTTAGGCGATGCAGGTAATACTTCTCAGTTTGTTGAGCATATTGATGCACCTGTTGTTAGTACTGATGAGATTGCAGGTGCTGAGCTAGTTACTTTACCTGATGAGACATTATCAGTAGAGGATGGTGATTTAGGGCGTCGTTATCCAAGGCGTGATCGCCGTCCAGTTGATCGTTATGGTTGGACCGTCAAGATTTTATATCCGATCTCTGCTTATGTTTTTTATGGTGATCTGTCTCCCACATTTTGAGCTTATATTATGGCCTTATTAGATACGTCGGTTCCTCGCTCTATTTCGGAAGCTATGCGGGAGTCCCAGTGGGTTCTTACCATGCAGACAGAGATGGACGCTCTTCAGCGTAATCATACATGAGATCTTGTCTCCTTACCTTTAGGGGTGAAGCCTGTTGGCTGTCGCTGGGTTTACACCCTGAAGTTTCTTGCGGATGGTACTATTGATCGTTACAAGGCTAGACTTGTGGCGAAGGGCTTTACTCAGGTACCAGGTTGTGATTTTGGTGCTACATTTGCCCCCGTGGCAAAATTGACTACTGTTCGGTTGATTATTTCTCTGGCTGCGGAGTACTCTTGGCCTCTTCATCAATTAGATGTGAAGAATGCGTTTCTTCACGGTGATCTGGACGAGATTATTTATATGGATGCACCACCGGGCTTTCGTGGTGAGGGGGAGTATGCTGGAAAGGTATGTCGACTGCGTAAGTCTCTTTATGGACTGAAACAGTCGCCACGAGCCTGGTTCTCTCGCTTCAGTGATGTAGTCGTACGATTGGGGTTCACCAGGTGTCATTCTGATCATACTTGTTTTATTCGACGGAATACTTCTGGATAGTGTGTCATCCTTTTGGTATATGTTGATGATATTATTATTACTGGTGATGATGTTTCTGGGACTGCGCAGGTCAAGATAGACCTTGGGAAGGCCTTTGATGTGAAGGACCTTGGATT